TTTATGAGAACAGAAGTCAATTATGAGATTAAAAAGACATCATTATGAGGAAAAAAGTCCAAATTATGAGATTAAAAAGACATCATTGAGGAAAAAAGTCCAAATTATGAGATTAAAAAGACATCATTGAGGAAAAAAGTCCAAATTATGAGATTAAAAAGACATCATTGAGGAAAAAAGTCCAAATTATGAGATTAAAAAGACATCATTGAGGAAAAAAGTCCAAATTATGAGATTAAAAAGACATCATTATGGAGAAAAAAAATCCACATTTTGAGATTGAAAAGGCAACTATAACACAAGTCAAATTTATGACATTAAAAATAATTATGAGATACGTCACATTTATGAATATAATTCTTGAGTCATAGTTCTGAGAAAAAAGTCAAATGGAGAATGAAAAGTCACATTTATGAGTATAATGTATGAGTCATAATTCAGAGATAAAAAGTAATATATATATAAAACATAAAAATTATGATTTACCAAAGCATGATTTGTTTTATGTGGCAGACATATTGAGTGACTTACAGTAAAGACCACCTTCAGACTGTTGAGCATCTCAATGTCCTTCGGCAGACCTTTATCTCCCCATCTGACCAGATAATTCTCACTGCAGAGAGAGAGAGAGAGAGAGAGAGAGAGAGAGAGAGAGAGAGAGAGAGAGAGAGAGAGAGAGAGAGAGAGAGAGAGAGAGAGAGAGAGAGAGAGAGAGAGAGAGAGAGAGAGAGAGAGAGAGAGAGTTAATGGTGTTAATGACAAACACCTTTTAGAGTCAGAACTGAAGAGAGTGTGTGTCAGTAAGACGCACCTGATGTTGGTCTGTTTGTTGGGGTCATACAGAGACATGAAGAGCTCTGAATCCTCCCCGATTCGACACACAAAGTTACGCACAAACACATAGAGGCTGTGTGTGGGAGAAGACTGGATCCGTGCGGACACTCCGGAATGATCCATCTGAACGTTGGACTGCACCGAGAAGAGCAGAAAACACAGGTAATTACGTTAAATAGATTTTTACATCTTCAGGAAAAACCCGACTGTGCAAAACTCACTACTACGATACTAGGGTGCTGCTATGTGGTTGCTAAGGAGTGTCATTTAGCACTTGATGGGTTGCTAGGGTGTTCTGAGTGGTTGTTAAATCATTGTTAAGTGGTTGTTAGGGTGTCTGGGCGGTTACTAAGGAATCATTATCCAGCTGCTAGGGTGCCTGGGTGGATGTGAAAGGTGTTGTCAAGTGGTTGTTATGGTGTCTGGGTGATCACTAGGCTTTTCTGGGTGGTTGTGAAGGTGTTGTCAAGTGGTTGCTAGGACATTATTAGGGAGTTACTAGGGTGTCTGGGTGATCACTAGGTTGTCTGGGTGGTTGAGAAGGTGTTGTCAAGTGGTTGCTAGGACATTATTATGGAGTTACTAGGGTGTCTGGGTGGTTGCTAGTGTATCTATTCTAGGTAATTGTGAAGGTGCTGCTAAGTGGTTGCTAGGAGATTAATATGGAGTTACTAAGGTGTCTGGGTTATCACTAGGTTGTCTGGGTGGTTCTGAAGATGTTGTCAAGAGGTTGCTAGGACATTATTATGGAATTATTAGGGTGTCTGGGTGGTTGCTAGTGCATCTAGGTAATTGTGAAGGTGTTGCTAAGTGGTTGCTAGGACATTAATATGGAGTTACTAGGGTGTCTGGGTGGTTGCTAGTGTATCTATTCTAGGTAATTGTGAAGGTGCTGCTAAGTGGTTGCTAGGAGATTAATATGGAGTTACTAAGGTGTCTGGGTTATCACTAGGTTGTCTGGGTGGTTCTGAAGATGTTGTCAAGAGGTTGCTAGGACATTATTATGGAATTATTAGGGTGTCTGGGTGGTTGCTAGTGCATCTAGGTAATTGTGAAGGTGTTGCTAAGTGGTTGCTAGGACATTAATATGGAGTTACTAGGGTGTCTGGGTGGTTGCTAGTGCATCTAGGTACTTGTGAAGGTGTTGCTTAGTGGTTGCTAGGACATTAATATGGAGTTACTAGGGTGTCTGGGTGGTTGCTAGTGCATCTAGGTAATTGTGAAGGTGTTGCTAAGTGGTTGCTAGGACATCAATAAGGAGTTACTAGGGTGTCTGGGTGGTTGCTAGTGCATCTAGGTAATTGTGAAGGTGTTGCTAAGTGGTTGCTAGGACATCAATAAGGAGTTACTAGGGTGTCTGGGTGGTTGCTAGTGCATCTAGGTAATTGTGAAGGTGTTGCTTAGTGGTTGCTAGGACATTAATATGGAGTTACTAGGGTGTCTGGGTGGTTGCTAGTGCATCTAGGTAATTGTGAAGGTGTTGCTAAGTGGTTGCTAGGACATCAATAAGGAGTTACTAGGGTGTCTGTGTGATTAATGGGTTGTCTGGGTGGTTGTGAAGGTGTTGTCAAGTGGTTGCTATGACATTATGGAGCTGCTAGGGTGTCTGAGTGATCGCTAGGTTGTTCTGGGTGGTTGTGAAGGTGTTGTCAAGTGGTTGCTATGGCATTATTATAGTTACTAGGGTGTCTTGCTAGTGTATCTATGTAATTGTGAAGGTGGTTGCTAGGGCATTATTATGGAGTTACAATGTCTGTGTGATCGCTAGGCTGTTCTGGGTGGCTGCAAAGGCGTTGCTATGTGGTTGCTAGGGTAATGAGCTTTTGCTAGTGTGTCTGGGTGGATGTGAAGGCCTTGCTACACCAGGTCATTATTATGCAGTTGCTACAGGGTTCTGGGAGATGTTTAGTTTGATAAGTGTTATAAGGTTATAGCGAGCTATATTCACAGCAGACTTGGACCGGAGGAATGTAGAGCCATGGGATCTCATTGCTTTAGTTTGTTCAGCCATCCTGAACATCTAAAAATGTCTCATTAAAACTACCAACTCTGTGATGCTTATGAGAAGCTCTGTGCGGTTTCATTCTGACGGTTCGTCTGTAGACCATTAAATGAATGTAAAAATGAGAACCTGTTCCTCTTTAATTCGCTCTGTGATCTTGACCGTGGCGTCCTCGTGTGCTCGGAAGAGGCTGATGACGCTGGCTCGCTCGGGGTCGAGGATATTCCCGTCAGCATCCCGAACAACCACATCCAGCTCCAAGATCCTGGAGGCAGAACAACACTTGTTTGAGAGGTTGTACTTGCTCACATTTACATGATTATTCAGCACACACACACACATGCTTGAAATAATCTGACAGATGTGCTCTTGCCCGGAGCTCTGTGAAATCCTGTGCTCCCATGATGCACCTCAGCCATGATGTGCTTCGTTTCATTAAGACTCGTTCTTGCACATCACGGAGAGCAACATTCAAGCTTATCACTGGCATGGATTTTGCTGTTTTCTATGGAAGCTTGTTTCCGCCACAGAATGAAAAATAAAAAAGGTAATAGCGACTTTTTATATCACAATTCTGACTTTAATTCTCAGAATTGCAAGATATAAAGTCAGAATTGTGTGATATAAAGTCGCAATTGCGTGTTATAAAGTCAGAATTGATTGATATAAAGTCGCAATTGCGTGTTATAAAGTCAGAATTGATTGATAAAGTCGCAATTGCGTGTTATAAAGTCAGAATTGCGAGATATAGTCAGAATTGATTGATATAAAGTCGCAATTGCGTGTTATAAAGTCAGAAATGCGTGATATAAAGTCGAAATTGCGTGTTGTAAAGTCAGAATTGCGAGATATAGTCAGAATTGATTGATATAAAGTCGCAATTGCGTGTTATAAAGTCAGAATTGCGAGATATAGTCAGAATTGATTGATATAAAGTCGCAATTGCGTGTTATAAAGTCAGAAATGCGTGATATAAAGTCGAAATTGCGTGTTGTAAAGTCAGAATTGCGAGATATAGTCAGAATTGATTGATATAAAGTCGCAATTGCGTGTTATAAAGTCAGAATTGCGAGATATAGTCAGAATTGATTGATATAAAGTCGCAATTGCGTGTTATAAAGTCAGAAATGCGTGATATAAAGTCGAAATTGCGTGTTATAAAGTCAGAATTGCGAGATATAGTCAGAATTGATTGATATAAAGTCGCAATTGCGTGTTATAGTCAGAATTGCGAGATATAGTCAGAATTGATTGATATAAAGTCGCAATTGCGTGTTGTAAAGTCAGAATTGCGAGATATAGTCGCAATTGCGTGTTATAGTCAGAATTGCGTGTTATAAAGTCAGAAATGCGTGATATAAAGTCGCAATTGCGTGTTATAAAGTCAGAATTGCGAGATATAGTCGGAATTGATTGATATAAAGTCGAAATTGCGTGTTGTAAAGTCAGAATTGCGAGATATAGTCAGAATTGATTGATATAAAGTCGAAATTGCGTGTTATAAAGTCAGAATTGCGAGATATAGTCAGAATTGATTGATATAAAGTCGCAATTGCGTGTTATAAAGTCAGAATTGCGAGATATAGTCAGAATTGATTGATATAAAGTCGCAATTGCGTGTTATAAAGTCAGAATTGCGAGATATAGTCAGAATTGATTGATATAAAGTCGCAATTGCGTGTTATAAAGTCAGAATTGATTGATAAAGTCGCAATTGCGTGTTATAAAGTCAGAATTGCGAGATATAGTCAGAATTGATTGATATAAAGTCGCAATTGCGTGTTATAAAGTCAGAATTGCGAGATATAGTCAGAATTGATTGATATAAAGTCGCAATTGCGTGTTATAAAGTCAGAATTGCGAGATAAAGTCAGAATTGATTGATATAAAGTCGCAATTGCGTGTTATAAAGTCAGAATTGATTGATAAAGTCGCAATTGCGTGTTATAAAGTCAGAATTGCGAGATATAGTCAGAATTGATTGATATAAAGTCGCAATTGCGTGTTATAAAGTCAGAAATGCGTGATATAAAGTCGAAATTGCGTGTTGTAAAGTCAGAATTGCGAGATATAGTCAGAATTGATTGATATAAAGTCGCAATTGCGTGTTATAAAGTCAGAATTGCGAGATATAGTCAGAATTGATTGATATAAAGTCGCAATTGCGTGTTATAAAGTCAGAAATGCGTGATATAAAGTCGAAATTGCGTGTTATAAAGTCAGAATTGCGAGATATAGTCAGAATTGATTGATATAAAGTCGCAATTGCGTGTTATAGTCAGAATTGCGAGATATAGTCAGAATTGATTGATATAAAGTCGCAATTGCGTGTTGTAAAGTCAGAATTGCGAGATATAGTCGCAATTGCGTGTTATAGTCAGAATTGCGTGTTATAAAGTCAGAAATGCGTGATATAAAGTCGCAATTGCGTGTTATAAAGTCAGAATTGCGAGATATAGTCGGAATTGATTGATATAAAGTCGAAATTGCGTGTTGTAAAGTCAGAATTGCGAGATATAGTCAGAATTGATTGATATAAAGTCGCAATTGCGTGTTATAAAGTCAGAATTGCGAGATATAGTCAGAATTGATTGATATAAAGTCGCAATTGCGTGTTATAAAGTCAGAATTGCGAGATATAGTCAGAATTGATTGATATAAAGTCGCAATTGCGTGTTGTAAAGTCAGAATTGCGAGATATAGTCGGAATTGATTGATATAAAGTCGAAATTGCGTGTTGTAAAGTCAGAATTGTGAGATATAAACTATTCTGAGGGGGAAAAAGTTCTTTTTTTCCCCTTAGAATTGGCCTGATAACTCGCAATTGCGAGTTTATATCTCACAATTCTGAGAAAAGATGTCAGAATTTCGAGATATAAACTCGTAATTGTGTTGTAAAGTCAGAATTGCGAGATGTAAACTCGCAATTGTGAGAAAAAAAGTCTGAATTGTGAGATAAAAAGTCTCAATTCTGTCTTTTTTGCTCGTAATTGCGACTTTATATCTCGCAATTGCGACTTTATTTATTACAATTCTGACTTCATATCTCGCAATTGTGAGATAAAAAGTAGCAATTATTTTTTATTCAGTGGCGGAAACAAGCTTCCATAGTTTTCATGTTTTTTTATCTGTATTTTGTTTGGTTAATCTATATTTCCTAAATTTCCTCTATATTGGTAGCTCTGTGAAATCCTGTGCTCCCATGATGCACCTCAGCCATGATGTGCTTCGTTTCATTAAGACTCGTTCTTCTATACTTTTTCTATGCAATACTTTTTTACAGTTACTTTCTAAAGGTGATTTACTCAATTTTAAACGCTACAGTAGACATTAGTGTTTATATCCGAAATATAAACCTTTATCCCAGTTCTTCTGTGCTAATATGAATATTTGTGTAACACAGAAATAATAATACTGTGTGGTTGAAAAGACTGTTTGTGAAGCGGTTTCACACAGATTTGAATGTTTCAGTGTGATTTTGTTGAAGGTTTAATAGACACAGGCGAATCGTTGTCGTTTAGGAATAAGATCGCGTGGGTGTTTAAACGGAGCTCGCGATTTTTCAACAATTAATCGTGCAGCTCTAGTATTAGTATAAAAGTTATTCAGCCAAGAGCAGAGCTTAATTAATCATGTTGTTTAATTGACAAACGGCAGCAGGTTTATTAGGCTCCTGTCCCTTTAAGACCTAATGCACAGGTCCAATATATTGACACACATCTGATTTTCTCCCAACTGTTTACATGCATCCACCAATACTATAAATATATCATGATGATGACATAACTCGTTATCTTGAGAAAACAAGAATAAACAGCCAGAGCGAGGCAGGTTTTTCCCGCAGTAATTCATTCCCGTTCAGGTGTCAGGAAGACATTTTTATCCCCTTGAGGTTTGTTAATTCCTTTATGATAATGTACAAATTAACTAATACATTAACAACCGCCCGGAGCAAATCACAGAAGCTTTGAATAGAAATTACACCAGCCGGCTGGATCCCATTATTCTACATTTGATCAGATCTGTTATAAAGGTAGTGAGTGTTTGTACCATTTGTAGATGATAATGCCATAATATTGTATGATTACTTTCATATAATATGGTATAATTTGGTCTTCCAAAGCACACAGTAAAATGACATTGGCATGGTCAAAAATGCACACAGACACGCTGACGGATAAACAGACATGGACACAAATAGAAGAGACACTTGGAATATGTACTTATTTCCATAGTCGATCTTCGAGGTGACTTTCTGTTTGAGTTCTTTAAACTCGTCGCTTGGCAGCGTCCCGGACAGGAGCTGGGAACGCCACTCCATTAAATCCCACATCAGCCTCTGGACCTGACTGAAACGATCCTTCTTGCTGGACTGCTGAGAAACAAAGACGAGCGCTGATCAGAAGTTCAGGTTGTGCTAGGGTGACCAGATGAGATTGGCTGAAATTCGGGACGGGACGGGGACGGGTGGCAGGCCTACTATGATATTAGACTACATAGACTATAATAAAAGATAATGAATTTCTAACCTGAACCAAACATATTTTTATTCAAAGATCAACAGTCTGTCATTAGTCTTTAGTCTGCCACAAAAAAACAACATTAAAATCATGAACTCACATGTCATTGTCATTGTAAATCAGACCTTTCAGGCTATATAGCCACTCATATTTAAAATGAAAATTTGCTTATCAATGCATATCTAAACTCGCGCCTATGGCATCTTTGTAGAACTTCAAAAAAAGAAACAGCCAATGAGCAGCCGGCGACTGGACGACTCAGCCTCACGGACAGTTTTTAATGTTTTATCAGACTATAACTACTCAAGATTTTGCTTTAGTATAATTTTCGGGACAATTAGGGCCGGATCCGTGATTCGGGACAACAGCTTAGATTTCAGGACGTCTGGTCACCCTAGGTTGTGCACATGCATTGGACTTCTGATGTTGGATGTTTGACTTATTTGAAGCATGCAGCAGTGTATGCAACCTTGGCTGCTTTTCCACCGTCGGGCCAAACCGCTCTCGTTACTTAACCGCTTCATTACAGGCCGGTACTGATATCAGAGTCCTGACCCGCAAATTTTGCTCAAACGGGTGAAAAATATCCAACTGTGTCGGATACGGATGCGGGTCGGGTCGGACACGGGGAAACGCGGGTCTAAACACGGGTTCAAAACAGTCACGTGCAAATGTAAAAATAAATGCATATTTTTAGGAACACATCTACAAAACTATGCCTGCCCTGTATTTCAAGTTCATAAAATATTTGTTTTTTAGTTTATTTGAGCCCGCGCCCTCCCATGAGTCTCTAGGCCCAGAGCCATAGAGAGAAAGAGTTGCGACACTCTTTGATGTCGCCGCGACGGCTGTCACGTGGTTCATGTCAGCCCCAATAGTTCCAAAACGTACGCGGGCTGTCATGTTCTTCTATGGACAGACAGCAGCGATTGCATTATTAAACGGTAAATATAAAATAAAACACACACCCAAGTACTTTTTAAGCTGTTATTGCGTTTTGTTAATGTCAGTTTTGCATTTGGAGAGGCAGGGTGACAACTTAGATAAGTTTTAGGCTATATTTTTGGAGGGAAAAGCTTAGTGTTCATGTTCGCATGGGTAGTAGCACTGGCTTAACGGCTCTAACTGAACTTTTCCATGTCATTCATCTGATGATGGACGTCTCATGATATTTATTTTAGCACAACTGGCTGGGCTGTATTAGGCTATTGATTCCCGTGATCTTGCTTATAAATTCCGCTTCGTGATCACGCAAAGAGGTCTGCGGTGCGTTCAGAACTCCAACCAACATAAAATATAAATAATTACGCTGTGCATGTACAAATGAATGATTTAGGAGGGAATAGACTGCTCCCATAACGTAGGAAGCAACGACTATATACAGCAATGTTCGGTAAATATTCAACCGAAAAATATTCTTCATAAAATTAAACCGGAGAGATAGTTAATGAGTGAATTAACTATGTTCCTAAATACATATAAGCACATGCATAGCCCTAACCCATTTAAATAAATGAATTGTGTGTGTGTATGTATATAATATTATAGGCTATATATATATATATATATATATATATATATATATATATATATATACATATAAAATATTATTAAAAATAGTATATATTATATACATCAGGTTACCAGTTAGCTAACGTTAGTGAAGTGTTGGTCACGTAAGCTATCGCTGCAATGAACCTATTATCTTCCAATAAACATTTACTAAAACTGGCTACATAAAATATAACTACAGACTAGATTCACGAGAGGTCGGCTAATGTGTGTAAAAGTAAAAAAAACACAGTAATTTCATTAATTTACCAGCGAACGTACTTCTGAAGCACTGAAAATGAATGGGGTTCAATGGAGAAACTATCAGTGTTTGGAACTATTGGCCGCTCCACGACACGCGTTACTTCCGCATTCCAAAGTTCCTATGGCGGTCTATGGGAGTGTCGCAACTCTTTCTCTCTATGGCTCTGTCTAGGCCTAACGTTACATTCACTTTTAAAAAATCACAACCACTCGAACTGCTGCATGAGTCGTCTAGATGGATAGTGAGGAGTTGAAAAAAAAATAGCTAGAGGAGATTATAAAGTTGTCGACACTACTTCATCGAAACTCAAGACGGTGTATGTGGCGTTTAGGATTCGCATACAACTGGACTTTTCTTTCATTTAAAATTATCACATAGCCTACACTGTTGTTATTGTCTCATTTAAAACTGTTAAGTAGGCCTATGTGTGGTGTGAAATTGTCTGATGTGCTAGACGAAATTGCATTGTTTTGTGGTAACGCTAGCCATGTTCTGTATAGGCTATCGGCTTTTTGGCAGCTTCGGCTGTTGTCCTTGTTTTAAGGCAAGCCGCCAAAGGCAATAAAAATTTGAAAAAAGTGTATCTATAATGTGATTGGCTAAACTGATTTTATTTCGGGTGCGGGTCGGGTTGCGGATTTTAATTAGTGCTGCTGTCGGAAAACGGGTCGGATGCGGTTTTAAGCACTGCGGGTACGGGCGGGTGCGGATTTACAAAATCGGATCCGTGCAGCTCTCTGATATGGTTTCATTATCTACTGTGGGACTGATAACGGAGCTCTTAATGCAATACAAATGCATCAGTCATTGCTGTTAACGCAAGAGTTTACAGACGATATGAGATGTAAATAGCAACCATGTTATGGAGGATGATCAGATATTTATTTTAATTTTATTATTACCTTACATTGACTTTGCTCAAGCTATAGAGAAACTGGTTAGTCAACCATGCTGAGAATTGCGGACCGAGAACAGTTTGTAATCATGCTGAACCAAGCTCAAGTGGAAATATAACTAGAACCGCTCCTTGCGTTCTTAGAACGGTTCGGCCCGATGCTGGAAAAGCGGCGTTGGTCACATGACTTCCATGAAGAACCTCTAACATCCATGGAACCTTTCCATTATACAAAAAGGTTATTTAGATTATTTGAAAGAAACAAAAAAATTGAAACAAAAGAAAGAATTCGAAATGGTTCTTCTTCGGCAGCACTACAAAAAGCCCTTTTGAATAAAGAACATCTTTTAAAAATATAAAGAACCTTTTGTATTAATGAAAGGGTTCCATGGAAGTTAAAGGCTCTTTGTGGAATCCTTGACACCTTTATTTTTAACACAGTACACACCCATTTAAATGTCTTACCAAATAGAGTTGTTTCCAGATAGTGCCCCATTCTCTCAGTGTGGTGGTCACCTCCTTCACCAGGGGCATCTCAACAGAGGTAATGACCTCCTCATCTCTACAGAAGAAGAGGGAGAGTGGGGATGGATGGACGGATGGAAAGAAACAGTCGATGGATGGATGGATGGATGGATGGATGGATGGATGGATGGATGGATGGATGGATAGATGGAAAGAAACAGTCAATGGATGGATGGATGGAAAGAAACAGTCGATGGATGGATGGATGGAAAGAAACAGTCGATGGATGGATGGATGGAAAGAAACAGTCGATGGATGGATGGATGGAAAGAAACAGTCGATGGATGGAAAGAAACAGTCAGATGGATGGATGGATGGATGGATGGATGGATGGAAAGAAACAGTCAGATGGATGGATGGATGGATGGATGGAAAGAAACAGTCAGATGGATGGATGGATGGATGGATGGATGGATGGATGGAAAGAAACAGTCAGATGGATGGATGGATGGATGGAAAGAAACAGTCGGATGGATGGATGGATGGATGGATGGAAAGAAACAGTCGGATGGATGGATGGATGGAAAGAAACAGTCGATGGATGGAAAGAAACAGTCAGATGGATGGATGGATGGATGGATGGAAAGAAACAGTCAGATGGATGGATGGATGGATGGAAAGAAACAGTCAGATGGATGGATGGATGGATGGAAAGAAACAGTCAGATGGATGGATGGATGGATGGATGGATGGATGGATGGATGGAAAGAAACAGTCGGATGGATGGATGGATGGATGGATGGAAAGAAACAGTCGGATGGATGGATGGATGGATGGATGGAAAGAAACAGTCAGATGGATGGATGGATGGATGGATGGAAAGAAAGTCAGATGGATGGATGGATGGATGGATGGATGGATGGATGGATGGATGGATGGATGGATGGATGGATGGATGGATGGATGGATGGATGGAAAGAAACAGTCGGATGGATGGATGGATGGAAAGAAACAGTCAGATGGATGGATGGATGGATGGATGGAAAGAAACAGTCAGATGGATGGATGGATGGATGGATGGATGGATGGATGGATGGATGGATGGAAAAAAACAGTCAGATGGATGGATGGAAAAACATAGATAGATAGATAGATAGATAGATAGATAGATAGATAGATAGATAGATAGATAGATAGATAGATAGATAGATAGACAGTCAGATTGATAGGTAGATAGACAGTCAGATTGATAGGTAGATAGACAGATAGATAGATAGACAGTCAGATTGATAGGTAGATAGACAGTCAGATTGATAGGTAGATAGACAGATAGATAGATAGACAGTCAGATTGATAGGTAGATAGACAGTCAGATTGATAGGTAGATAGACAGATAGATAGATAGACAGTCAGATTGATAGGTAGATAGACAGATAGATAGATAGATAGATAGATAGATAGACAGTCAGATTGATAGATAGATAGACAGTCAGATTGATAGGTAGATAGACAGATAGATAGATAGATAGATAGACAGTCAGATTGATAGATAGATAGACAGTCAGATTGATAGGTAGATAGACAGATAGATAGAAAGACAGTCAGATTGATAGGTAGATAGATGGATGAATTGATTGATGGATGGATGGATGGAAGGACATACTCACCCTCTCTTTTCGATGATGACTTCCTTTAGCTCTATAAAGTTGGCAGGAAATGCTCCCTTAAATAAAGGAAGAAAGTAAATCAGCCGGCAGGGAGTAGAGGAAGTTCAGGTCAGATATTCGGGAAGAGAACATTCACTCTTGTACAAACACTATAAAAAAAATATGCATTTACTCACTTTTCTGTCTTTGTTCTTGATCACGTAACCTTTATACCATCCTGGAACAATAACAGACTGGTTTATATTTCAGCCAATTTATGAGAACATTTCTATAGTCAAGTCACCTTTATTTACATAGCACTTAACAGGGAAAGTTCGGGCAAGGTACTCTCAAAGTTATGAACAAATAATCTTCTTATTTTAATTTTTGTCATTTCCGAATTTTTACTGTCTTAAGTTTGAATGAGGTGTGATATGTGTTCTCTTTTGTTTTTCCATATGTGTGTATGAGGACTCTACTGCAAACAAAATCTACCTTCGGGTACAAATAAAGTAACTTGAACTTTAACAATTTTACTATTAAGAGGTGTGTTCACACTTGTAGTTCGGTTCGCTTTCAGTCCGGAACACAAAAAACACATTTAGTCCTGGTCCGCTTAGTGTTCACACTGACATTTTACTGTTACACCGAACCTAAAGATACTGAACCTAAAGGCATAAAGATGTTCACAACCTGATTGGTCGGCTTCTATTATGTTTATTTCACGACGGAACTTACCGATCATTCAAAACAGTACATGTGTCCTGGGCTAAAAGCGCTCGTTGTGTGTGTGTAGCTACATATGATGGTATTTCGACCAGCTGAGAACTCGTGAGGGGCTTATAAAATGTGTAACGGAGTCAAAACAGCGTCACACACACATCCCTCCGTCACACACAGACGAAGATCTGCAGTGAGGAGATGCGGTTCTGACGCCTGTACTGAACTGTGATGGGCAAAAAGACTATAGAGAGAAAAAACAGGGGTGCCTTTTGTCCTGTTTTTGGTTCGATTACATATCCTCCTGAGACCCAGAACACGTATCACACGTTATGCTATGTCCTCTGTAGTGGACGCCAGGACTAAGTTGTTTAAAAAATAAAATGACATGAAATTATATGTATAGGCAAAAACAATGGGTTTTTTCTTCAATCACCGATACATTTTGGGGTTTCAGGATTTTTTCAACCAAAATTTGTATAAAGATTATTCTCAACTATGTTATGAAATAAATAATGGAATGAATTGATAATTTTTTTACTTTTTGCAATACGTGGGTAAAATGGCCATAAATTAATATTCCCATTCAATGCAATGTATCTATACACTGTATCTAATTTGCACATTAATGTGTTCTTGGAGCAACATTTAATGAAAAAAGAAGTGTAATAATTGGCAACATTTTAATAATAATATCTAATATTTCATAGGAATATTGATGTATCATTTATTTCCATATTCACTTGTTGTGTCTCCCAGAATGCCTGATGAACATGATTTTAGTCCTGATGTCTTCAAAACGTTTGAAATCATTGCCCTGTTCTGTAACAGAAAGTATTTTTTTTATTTGAAACCCCTTAACATTTTCCTGAGATGTTGTTTTATGAAATACAATTTGAAAAAGTAGTCCAATTTAAATTATAATTACAAAATATTATCATATTTCCATAAGAATGCTACATTTGATCACTAAATTAATGTCAGACATTTTTAAAGACCAAGGAGAAGTTGTTTTCATGGTGAAACCTCCAAACATTTGGTATCTCTGAAAAGTCCTGAATGTGCTCTTTACAGGACACCCAGGTTGTGTCATGTGACATGTATGATGTCAGAGAAATTCACTAAAATATAATGTCCACTAAGTCTATTCTTGGGTCCCAGGAGGATATATGTGGTCTGAGTTGCGTTCATATTTAATTCGAACCGCACCAGACTTCGTTAGGAAGTGGACCAGACTCTCGGTCCACTTGTTTGGTGGCACCAGGGTCCGGATGGGAGCGTTCATTAGGGTGTATTCACTCAAGTTCAAGTTCGTTACCCCTCCTGGTGCGGATCTTTTGGGCACTCGGGTGTGGATCAAGCAGCCGTACCGAGACCAAGCTGAAGAGGTGATCTCGGTGCGGTTCCAAACAAGTTTTGGTACGGTTCGTTTAAGGTGAATTTCTGTCCAATGAATGTTGAATTTGTTTACAAATTTTGGCTCAATTGACCCTTCGCTAAGCCACGCCCGAAAACCGCCACTGGCCAATCGTGTCTTAGCAACCGTAACTAGGCGCGGGAGGTCTGGCAAGCTTTCGAGCGAGGAGCGTTGTGCGTATGGATTGTGCAAATCTGATACCCGGTATCCTAAAAGTGTGGAATTGTTTTCCTTCCCGAAAAATCTAAAAGCCAAGGGGAGAAATAATGGGCGTGGATCAAGCACTGTGTGAGACCCCGTTCACAACTCTGTCGACAGGATAAAAACACCTATTGCTTGGAAGTTGGAAATAAGGACGGTTCTTTGTTCATAATGCATATTATATTTTAACGTAAAATAAGACGATTAAAGACAAGACGGAGGCTCACTGACATACTTTAAAATATATTTAAGCATTTTGTTAATCGACGGCCTACTACCCCTGACTGAGTAACGTTACCTTTACACTAACTCCCGGTGTTAGTGTTATTCCACAAGATTTATGGATAAATCTGCATAAACTGTTTGATTTAAAATTATTAGATTATTTTCACATTTCACTTACCCTGCTGTGCACGAACATAGCGGTTCCTCAATTTGTGTGTTTCCCATTTGAATGATCAGCGTATGAGGCGGTTGCTGTTTGCGCTGGGAACATAGGATTTAGCTTCAATTTTTATGAAATTATTCTCTAATCGGTTGCATATTTTGTCGTGGATATATATCCCTTGAATGCATACTGCAGTCCCTTTTGTCTTGCTCTCTCAGATTTTCACACGTTCGCCAAAAATTACTAATTATCTCCTTGGGAATGTCTGACACCGGTGCATACACACTGTAATAGACGTGGCAGGCGCGAAAGCTTGACAGGCGTAGCAACAGTAACTAGGGAGGGCGGGGCTTAGCGAAGGGTCAATTGCAATGCAAAAAGGGCAGTGTGAAAGCGAGCCACAAAAAATCAACAGTGTATTTGGTCCGGACCAAAGCAAGTGAACTAGCGGACTTTCCTTGTGTGAATACACCCTAACAGAGCGATCGCACCAGGGTACGTTTTAATCCAAAACAAACATGCCAAGTGTGAACACACACCCTAAAACCCCAGCTCAAACAGTAGAGAATGACGCTAGCAACGGGTTTAATACCCAGGGAACGCATGAACTGATCAAATGTACACTTTCCATGCAATATAAACAAATTCTGTTAAATGCATAAACCAAAAGTAAATGCAACATCCCAGAATCCCTCACCTTCACATGACTCCTGTATGTGTACCGTGTCCCCGACAGCCAAGGACAACTGCTTTTCCGCTTTGGCGTTGAAATTCCACTTAACTTCAGAGAAAATACAAATTGCATTTTAAAACACATAAAGTGAAGTCACAGTTTGGATTGATTTCTCAAGTGATGCCCAGCAAAACAGCAGAATGAGATCCTTCAATGCTCCCGTTAAGAACGATAAGAAACTGTCCTCAACTACTTTGCTTTCTTCTTGTCTGGTGTGAAAAAAGTCCTGCAATTCATGTGTGTTGCACAAACGCTGCAGGACGACATACACACTGAACATTAATTCTTTAGCCAACATCAATGACATGGATATATTAAACTGCAGAGATGGAGAACATCATATTACACACACACACACACTTTATTTCTGCAAGTACGAGTTCGTTGGCCTACTTCCTCTCAGAGCAGCTTCCTGTGCCACACCACACACACACACACACACAGATACACGCCGCCATCAGCATGTTTACAATTAAAATAACTTTCTTTCAATAAGCAATTCATATGCATTTGCATGAGCAGAAAGCGAATTAGTTCATAAGTTTTAGTATGTGCAATATCCTCATTTTTTCACTATAGTGAGCTAGAAAACTGCTGACTACACCAGACCAGAACCAGAGCCACTAACATCGCCATCAGAACACTTTTGCATTCATTTCAAGACTGTTTCGCACAAAAATAACTCATAGTGCGAGTTCAACATTCACAAATAACTCTAAATAAAGTTACTCTAATCAGCGTCACCATCTCAAGCTAGCACTGCTCTTCCTGGACGCTTCACACACAAGCTTAAAGTGGATTTCAAATGTCATTTGCATGAAATATTTCTTCCCAAAAAATGGGCAACCAAAGAGACTTAATGAAGTTCTCACGTGTTTGGTTTAATTTAATTTAGTTTCTCCAATTCCTTCAGAGAAAACGGACACAATCGGTGTTATTTTATTCTAATTCAAACACTATTATACGTTTAGAATTTGATTTCATTTATTTTATGAGAAACGTACGAGTTGAAACTGAGATCTCTGACTTTTGATTGCACACTTGAGCAAATATGAGCACATTTGGAGACATTAGTGAGATGAAGCTCTAGAGGAGGCTTGTGTGAGAAGATGGCTTTCTCTTCTCAGTGCGGTCTATGAGAAACAATCAAGATACTAAAGAGATCTCATTTCACGCAGGCATCCTCTAAAAATTAAATGTTCCTCTTGTGTTGTGAAACCGTAAAGCACATTCGTTCAGCAAACAGACTGAAAAGGCAAATGCTTTAGACTGTAATAAGTGAAAATGTGCAGAGGTTCCTTAAGAAGTTATTTCAGGTGTATTCAGTTGCATTCAATTATATTTTTGACTTTAATAAACCATTTCTAATGCTAACAAGCATTGCAAGACCGCATCATCATAAATCTGAATATTTGCAGGATTTCAAAGCAAAAAACAAGTGCTAAAAGATAAAATGCTGCAATCTGTTTAGGCCAGTGACTGTCGAGCCGCTTGTCTGATCCGTCTCTGCCCACATCCGGAGAAATAGGAACTGAATTCATGCGACTACAGACGGCCGCTGCGAGAGGCGCCGGGGATATACACAAACACACACACAAATACACAGAAAACATTCATTCCTGCACAGGTGAATCACAACAAAAAAGGCCAAACTCACCAACTCCATATCTTTCAGAGCTAGTTTTTGTCCAAGGAGCCATTGCTTGGACTTTGAAACGCTCTCCTGCGTCTCTTTCTGTCTGTATGTAATCTTTCAGAGTGTCTCAGTTCCTTTCTGATGTCCTACACCGGCTGTGTTTTTGGGTGAGGGTGTGAGAAATAACCAGCATGAAGTGCTCCTCCTCCTCTCTGTCTGACTGTCTGCTTCTTCCTCTTCCTCTTTTGGCCTTCCATCGGCTGACATACGCAACGCAGCACAACTTCAGCATGACGACTAAAGCACACGTTTCAATGGCTTTTATATGGATCATGTACTATGTGTTGAGTCCCAAACTCTGCTGTGATCTACAGTGTATTAGGGTGTGTGTGATGGAGCACGCAAATCATCATTTATTAATCTTTAATGCTGGAGGAAACATCTGGTGTGGGACGAGATAAAGCCTAAGATGTTTGATTTATGCATCTGAGAGACTTAACGCAAGCAGGTTTATACAAACACACAAACAAGCTCTGTATCTGTACTCATCAAACATCAGAATAATGTCAATATTCAGGCGCAATACCGACAGTAGGCTACAGAGGGCACTCTCTCTGAGAGATGGTGCACAGACTTCATCATGCAGCTTCAGCGTTATTATCATTAACTAAAATTAAAAATATTAAAACATTTCTGTTCATTGAAATAAAGCAGAAATAAAGGAAAATCCAAAAAACTCAAACTGAACGCATGTTGCCTTGGAAATATAAAGTGATATAAAGTAAATTATTAAAAAAATAAGTTGAAGTACTAAAACTAATAACTGGAAATGAAAAATTAAAACTGAAACTGAAATTAATTAAATCTAAAAAGCAATATTTAAAAAACAAATAAATTGACAAAAGCACATAATGAAATTATTAAAAATGTAACAAAAAATGTACCATGAAAACTAAAAGTATAAAGACAAAAGCTAATTCAAAATATTAAACTATAAACTTAAACTGAAATAGCACAAGTAGAAAGTTTTTATTTACAATTTTAGTTTTATTTTTGTTAAAGTTTTAGTGATTTTGTGGTGTATTTTTGTCATTTTTATTATTATTTTTAAGTAGGCTATGTCTATATACTTTGTATTTGTTTTATAGAAATGTTGCCTTGGCAATAAACTGAAATAAGTTGAAGTACTAAATTTATTAAGTGGAAATAAAATAAGTAAATAAATTAAATCTAAATAGAAATATAAAAAAAAAAATCAATTCACAAAAGCACATAACAAAACTACTAAAAAATTATCATGAAAACTACATATATAAAAACAAAAGCAAATTATAATAGAACAAAAATAAAAACTTAAATAAGTAGAAATGTCTGTTTTTATTTGTTTTTATTTTTCGTATACTTTTTATTTGAACTTTAAAGTTGTATTAATTTCATTGTGTTTTGTCATTATTATTATTGTTATTCATTATGTCTTTATACTTTTTCATTTTTATTTCAGTTTTTTAGTACATCACTAAATTAAAATGAGAAATGTTACTTTAGCAACTAGCTGAAATAAAATAAGTTTCAATTTCAATTAAGCTTTTATTATATTGGTAACACAAATGTTTTAATTGCACTGAAAACACTCAGAGTTCATTATGCAGATTTTTGAGTAGAAGGGTCTTTTTGTAATTCGGTTTTATTTTGTATTTCCTGTTTTTGTATTTTAATTTTGAGTTTAAGTTAAAGTTTTAGTGCTTTTGCGGTGAGTTATTATTTGTTTTTTTTTTCAATGTGAATAAGTATTTATAACACTTATTAGTGATCATATACACATTAATATCATACTTTATGGGTTCTGTAAACCCTAACGCTCAAAATAATTAATTGGTTTGAGTAGGAAAAACTTAAATTAAACTAATTAGTTTAGTCAAATTAACTTTTATGAGTATTTCTCACTTTCTTTTTCTTTCAAGTTCACAGAACTGATATATTTTAAGTAAACTGAACTGTTTCTTTGTTTTGAGTTTTATGAAATTATTTCTTTTAATTTAGACGAACTTAAGTTTAACTGAAACGGCTGAGATGTCTATTTCCCAGCATGCTTTGCCAATGGCCCTCGAAAGGGAGAGTAAATGCTCAAATTAAGTGTAATATAATGTTTTTTATGCAAGATTAATGTTAAGTGGAAGATTTAGTAGTGGTTAATGTTTTGTTATGCTAATTTAGAAGAATTTCTGTTAGGATAGTTTAGATAAAACCTTTATTTTGCTGCACTCATACAGCAAGTGCTACTCTATAACATACTATTGTTAACATGTTAACAAATAGTCTGTTAGCAAACTAGCTTGTTAAAGCTAGTTTATACTAATAAAAGTGTTCACATTGAAATTACATGAAAGTTTAAGTTAAATGTATAAATTATTATACTCAAAATTGTCAAATTAAGAACAATTAACAGTACAAAATAGAAATCTGCCAGTTCTGCTTACTTAAACTTTGAATTTCTTAACCCTCTGGGGTCCAAGGTGTTTTTGGGGTCCTTGAGATGTTTTGACATACTCTGACATTTGTGCTTTTTTCAGTTGCTTATAAACATATTACTGGCAAAGGTGTAATTACACTCTATTAAGCACAAACAGGGCTACCATAATGTGTTATCAACATGTATGTACATTTTTGTATTTTTGAGAGAATATTGTTAATGCGTGGTTATTGAAAAAACTAAAACTTAAAGTTTCTGAAATAAGGCCACAAAACACATACTACATATCTGTCCACAAGACTTTTGACTAATGGATGTTGTCGCCTAGAGTTTTTTCTTCAAAATGATCTGAAAATCATCCTGCCTAATCATTCACATAAAACAATAGATTGGTTTAAATTTAAAAATGACACTTTTTGTTTGGAAAGGCAATATGCGCAGGGGTGTGACCTGCTGTGATTCACACCTGAGAAGACAATGGGCCCGCATAATGAGCGCATAATGGGGCTGCATACTAATGACCCTTTCATTCAGGTGTGTCACTGAGCCACAAGAATGCAATGACAATATATATATATACACTCACCGGCCACTTTATTAGGTACACCTGTCCAACTGCTCGTTAACACTTAATTTCTAAGCAGCCAATCACATGGCGGCAACTCAGTGCATTTAGGCATGTAGACATGGTCAAGACAATCTCCTGCAGTTCAAACCGAGCATCAGTATGGGGAAGAAAGGTGATTTGAGTGACTTTGAACGTGGCATGATTGTTGGTGCCAGAAGGGCTGGTCTGAGTATTTCAGAAACTGCTAATCTACTGGGATTTTCACGCACAACCATCTCTAGGGTTTACAGAGAATGGTCCGAAAAAGAAAAAACATCCAGTGAGCGGCAGTTCTGTGGGCGGAAATGCCTTGTTGATGCCAGAGGTCAGAGGAGAATGGCCAGACTGGTTCGAGCTGATAGAAGGGCAACAGTGACTGAAATAACCACTCGTTACAACCGAGGTATGCAGCAAAGCATTTGTGAAGCCACAACACGCACAACCTTGAGGCGGATGGGCTACAACAGCAGAAGACTCCACCGGGTACCACTCATCTCCACTACAAATAGGAAAAAGAGGCTACAATTTGCAAGAGCTCACCAAAATTGAACAGTTGAAGACTGGAAAAATGTTGCCTGGTCTGATGAGTCTCGATTTCTGTTGAGACATTCAGATGTTAGAGTCAGAATTTGGCGTAAACAGAATGAGAACATGGAACCATCATGCCTTGTTACCACTGTGCAGGCTGGTGGTGGTGGTGTAATGGTGTGGGGGATGTTTTCCTGGCACACTTTAGGCCCCTTAGTGCCAATTGGGCATCGTTTAAATGCCACGGCCTACCTGAGCATTGTTTCTGACCATGTCCATCCCTTTATGGCCACCATGTACCCATCCTCTGATGGCTACTTCCACCATGTCACAAAGCTCTAATCATTTTAAATTGGTTTCTTGAACATGACAATGAGTTCACTGTACTAAAATGGCCTCCACAGTCACCAGATCTCAACCCAATAGAGCATCTTTGGGATGTGGTGGAACGGGAGATTCGCATCATGGATGTGCAGCCGACAAATCTGCGGCAACTGTGTGATGCCATCATGTCAATATGGACCAAACTCCCTGAGGAATGCTTCCAGCACCTTGTTGAATCTATGCCACGAAGAATTGAGGCAGTTCTGAAGGCAAAAGGGGGTCCAACCCGTTACTAGCATGGGGTACCTAATAAAGTGGCCGGTGAGTGTATATAGGCCTATATAATACAAAATTGGTTCACAGTTCCAATTATTTATTTATTTTTCAAATTGTGCTTGCAAATTGTATAATATCAAATGTAAACATTTCTAGTAATTGTGCAGTTAATTCTCATGCTGTTTTTACAGAAAGTTTGGGAATATATCCCAAATGTGTCACTAATAAAACACAATACAAATAATTTAAAGAGGAGGCTTATATTGAGCTTTTAAGATTTACCTAAGATTTATTTATATGTAGCCTACATATATTTTTGCTATTTTAATAAAAAGGTTACAATTACAACAACAATTAAAATTTTAACTATATTTCAAATGTAATCTTTCTTTGTATATACTAAAGTATACATTTTATCCTACATATTTCACAGTTGCGGATTAATTAGTTTGAATATAGCCTACAATCGAACAAACACTATAATAACATCTTAGCAAACAAGCTTATTTGATGTGGCAGTATTTTACAGTAAAAACGACATCTTGTCTTTCATATGTAACATATCGTTTTTATGATTAGGACATATAAATGTTAATTTGCAGTTTAATACGTTGCTTATACAAAAATATTTAATTTCAACATATTTCAGTCGATTTTTACTCATCTCAGTATTGGAATATAGTTAGGTAAAAGCTGTTCATTCATTCACACACAAAAACGCGATTCAAACAGTCTTTTTGTTTACAGACACTATTTCATATCGCGATTAGCACAAAGCACTTGAAAATAAAGAATGTACCTATTCCTCGGCTGGATCCGTTGCTCCTCCAAATGAAACTACCTGTACTTCTGAGGTAATTTTTTCCAGGATTATTATTAAGATAGTATTATTCCTCACAGCGTCGTAAATCTGAGTCTCTTTCGGTGGGTTATCCAGCTGATGTGGGCGCGGATCGCCTCAGAGCGTTTGTGTTTGAATAGAGCGCGCGCTCCGTGGGCGTGGTCAAATTAACTTTAATGAG